TATATGTACCAAAAAGATTCTAATTTGTTGGCTAAAAACTAATTACAAATTAGTTGGCCTTCAAAGGTGGCCCTTTTATGTATTTGAAGTGACACCTTTGCAAGCACGAGTGACGCCAGATATTTACAGTACTCACGGTTATTTTTCATTTTCCTTTTGATAGTTAATTGTAGACGTTGGAAATTCAAGTGTTTGTAGAGCAGCTGACTTTACTTAACTGGCTACTGATATAGTGACTGATTAACTGACTGACTAAACTGACTGACTGACCGGCTAACTGACCGACTGTGAGTGCTGTTGGATTGTCGATAAAATACCCTTAATTTATTTTTTCAAAATTGTAGTTCGTACTGTAAATATCTGGCGTTACTCGTGTATGCAAAGATGGTGTCACTTCAAACACATAAGACGTCCACCTTTGAAGGCCATCTTTCTAATTTGTTTTTGGTCAACGATTATTATTATTATTATTAGTAGTAGTAGTAGTAGTAGTAGTAGTAGTATAGTATTGTTATATACCTATTATTATTATTATCATTATCATTATCATTATCATTATCATTACCATCATTTTCATTATTATTATTGTTATAATTATCATTATCATTATTATGATTAACATTATCATTACTACTATGTTATTCTTATTATTGTAATTATTTGTATTGTATAATTATCATTATTATTATCATTACATTATATTATTATTATTATTATTATCATTACTATTATTTGTATTATTCATTTCATTATTTATTATTTATATCATTATTATTATTATTATTATTATTACTATGATTGTTACTATCATCATTATCATTATTGTTATTATCATCATCATTATTATTTTTTATTATCATTATCTTTCTTATAATCATCATTATCACTATCATCATTATTATCATTATCATTACTTCGGCTATTGCTATTGTTATCATTGTTATCATTATCATTATTATTGTTATCATCATTGCTATCATTATTATTACTAGTAGCAATAGTAGTAGTAGTTGTAATGTTGTTTTTGTTATCATTATCATCACCCTCCTCCTCCTCCTCCTCATCATCATCATCATCATCATTATCACCCTTATCATCATATTTATCGCCGTTATCAACACTATGATCTTTATCATTAATAACTGTATTTTTATCATTATTACTATTATCATTATCATCATTATTGTTACTATCATTTCATTATCATCATTATCATTATTACTGTTATTACTATTATCATTATCATCATTTTTAATCGTTCTTGCCTCTTCTACATTTTGAAATACGGAGATTAAAGTCAATATCTTTTGCTATTTATGTTACTCATTGTTATATTTTTTTTCTCATTTTTCCCTTTTCAAGCAAATTCTGGCGAAGAATGACACGCGAGTGAAAATCTGGTATAAAATATTTTTATTCGTGACATATGAAAATGAAATATATCTGAACATATATGACTAGGATTTTATTAATGAAACTTAAAACTAAGTACACACACACACACACACACACACACACACACACACACACACACACACACACACACACACACACACACACACACACACACACACACACAGACACACATAAATCCTTTAAATAACATTCAAAAGGCACTTTGGCTGCAAAACTACTGTCCACTGAAACTCGCCGACATGCATTCGTTGTACTGCCCGCTGTCCTGTGCGTTCGCTTCGCTGAAAAGAATTTTCGTTTTTCTGCTCTGCAAAGACAGGAGAAATAAATATACATTTATTAGAATTGCGGAAAACGTTAATGTTTTTATGTTATGTGTATATATATATATATATATATATATATATATATATATATATATATATATATATATGTGTGTGTGTGTGTGTGTGTGTGTGTGTGTGTGTGTGTGTGTGTGTGTGTGTGTGTGTGTGTTTATTATTATTCAAATGGATACAGATTATGAAAAAATATATTTTTCATGTGTATATATATATTTTTTTTTTTTTTTTTTTTTGCATGGATATATTATTTGAAAAAATATAAGGGAATTATTATTATAATCATTTTAACTTTCTTTTCCATAAAATGAAATAGGAATGCATATATTTATCAATCTATTTTTCAATCTGTTTTTTTTATAACTATACATTATTATTTTCCTGTCGATATATCATTTTTTAGTCTAATGTCGATTTGTCTTTTTTATATATTATATTTTTTATCAATCTTTTCCTATCTAATTATCAATGTTTTCCTACCTATTTTTTCTGTACCTCTATTTATATCTTAATTCGTATCTGCTACTGTTCATGTCTACCTGTTGAGATCTAAATTAGAGTTACCCACGATCTATATAAGTATGTTTATGAACATCGGATCCCCTATCTACCTTCCTGTGTATCTATCTGTCTATCTATTTCCTCCATTTGTCTACCTGTCAAGATGTAGGTGTAGCACCACGCACGATTTATCTATCTATATGGACACTGAATTCACTATCTGTCTACCAGTGTATCTATCGTTCTGTCTATTTTCCTGTCTCCTCCCCAGCGCATACCTTGAGGCGGATGTGCGGCCTGTGGGCGTGGGCGGCGTCCCCGAAGAGCCCCTTGGCGTGCCTCCAGAACTTCTCCCCGCGGAGGGTGTAGAGCGCCCAGTTCCACGAGGAGCCGGCCATGAAGGTCCACCAGGCCAGGTGGTGTCCCACGGGCCACCTCAGGTCGGTCGCGATGTCCAGGATGCAAGGGACGCACGACAGGGTGAACAGGAGGACCATGTACGTCAGCGTCTCCGTCAGGCGCCTCATCTCGGGCACGCGATGGGCCGAGTGGATGGTGAGGTTCTCCCGCGCCTGCTGGTCGTGGCGCCGCAGCTGGAGGAGTGTGACGACGGTGACGACGACCACCGTCACGCCCGTCACGACCCAGATGACGATGGACACGACGAAGCGCCACTCGGTCGTGTCGACGTAGGTGGCGTTGACCCCCAGCGTCAGCTTCGTGACAGGGTCGAAGTAGCCGGTGAAGGCGCGGTGGTCGTGGCACCAGTTGAGCATGAGGGAGATGAGCAGGCTCACCACGAACGCCAGCGCCAAGCCCAGGACGATGGACGACCTTCGAAGCGGCTTCCCGAAGACCACGCACAGCCGCTCGATGCTCAGGAGGGCCAGGATGAACATCGAGAAGGACATGCTCAAGGTGAGCACGATCGCGCACGCCAGGGGATACCCGCCCCTTTCGAAGCGCAGGAGGTGGAACTCCAGCTGCATTTTGGCGGAGCTCTCGTGCGCCAGGCCCGGCCAGAAGGTCTTCGGCAGGAGGTGCGCGAGGGTCGTGGTGCCACTCATGAGGGTCATGTGGTCGAACACCGCCAGGGCCGCCGGCATGAGCCCAAGCAGCAGATCCGCAATGGCCAGCGCCGTGCGGATCAGGAACGTGTCCTGGTACACTAAGCCTGTAGATACGATCACCATAAGGATGAACACGTTCCCGATCACCGTTATGATGGTCACTAGAACGGCCACGACGAGGAGGAAGATCTGCTCGATCTGACAGTCCTGAGACAGCTGTTCCCACGTGATAATGGGAGTCTCCCGCGAGTATTTTGTTTCGTAGTACCACAGATCTTCCCAGTCATGAGGGAAATCTGTCCCATTAAGCATCACTCGCATCTGAAGATTATTCCACAAGCTATCAGGCAGCGTGGTGAAGCAGGAGGAACTGCCACCATTGCTGTGATTGTGAAGGGTTTGCTGGAACTCCATCGTGAGGAGTGGTTATTCAATGCTGTATTTCATTATCATGTTCTTCTGGCGATCGAGGGAGTGAAGTTGCTGTGGAAGACCGTGTGTAGCATCTGTAATGTACGAGAAAAAGAAGAAAAATGATTAACAGCAAGTTTGCTAATATATATATATATATATATATATATATATATATATATATATATATATATATATATATATAATGAAGCTAATGATGATAAATGAGGAAGATATTTTGTTGTGCGTGGTATGACAGTGAAAAAGTATCAGGGAAAATATGGGTCATAGTTAAAACATAATTTACTAAATATATATAAAAATATCTTTCCAAAATTCTCGTGACGTTTAAACATTCAAATAGGTAACATATTTAAAACATTCTAATGTAATAACGACAACAGCATCAACAATAATAATAATGATAATAATAACAATAGTCATAGCAACAGTAATAATAATAGTAAAAAATGATAATATGATAAAATGATGATAATGATAATATTATCGTTATTGCTACTACTGTTATTATATTAGTAAAAGTAACATCAAAAAATAATGAAAATCATGAACATTACATTGACGTGATATAGATGAATGTTAGATAAGGATTGATAACAGTGATAATAATGATAATGATAAATATTCAAATTAACGATAATGATAATAATAATTGTAATAACAAGGATGATACTACTAATAATGATAATGATAACAATATTGATAATCAGAATAATGATAATAATATCAAGAAGAACAACAATAAGTAATAATGGTAAAAAGCGTTAATACATATTTCTTACGTCATTATTTTTCTTTAAGTAAATATCTTTAAGTATAGAAATGCTTTAAATTAAAATATATATATTAGTGACATATCACCACCTGCAAAGTTCGCCAAACCGCTTTGTCAGTGTAAACCACCCGCTTCGACCCCTGTTTCAGAAACAAACAATGCAAAGTCGTGGAAGTGTATCGCATTATCCACAACGGCGACGGTTTGTTCATGGCTCACGCTCGACTCGCCGTGGCTCTCTGCATAAGCTCCCTCCATTGTTCTCGGTCTTGTGCCAGTCTTTCAGCTCCTGCCATAGTAAGGAGAAGACCGATGACGAGATTTAGGGTCAACATTAAGATGATCTAAATATGGTAAGAGATTATCTTGATGTTGTTTATAAATCTTGTCTTTGGTCTGCTTCTTTGGTTTCCCATTAGCATAGCAGCGAGTAATCTTATCTCCAAACTGTCACCCCTTAGGAAGTGCACAAGGAAAGCTAATTTTCTTCCATTTATAACGGTGAGCAGTCTGTTTACACTAATCCATTTTTTGGAAGTACTTCATTTGTTTTGTTTTCTGTCCAGCTGATACGAAGCACCCGCCTGAAGCACTATGGCTCGAAGCTCCGTATTTTCCTCTTCTCTTTACTCAGCTCCGCATGATGCAGCTGAGAAAACTAGGAAATTCAGTAAAAAACCGGTAATCTCAGCTTTTTCTTCGTCATAGGTGTTGGTGAAAATAGCTCCTATGTGTGTGAACTCTGACGTTTTCTACAAATTCATCTCTGATTTTTTTACCCGCATTCGAGGTTCGAAACGGGGTTCACATTGGATGCGTTGAATGGCGAGCTTTGGGTGTATATTGTTACTAATACCTTTTTTTCCTTTTCTTCCCTTCTAAAGTATTTTTTATGCCTAAAGATCTTTACTCTACGTTTTTTGTCGTTTTGTTCTTTTAATTTAAGAATTAGTTTAGTTATGAAGTTAGTTAAATCGCGTTGTTTAGACAAGACTATTACTAATACCGTAAGATTATTAACTTAAGTATCGCCATCATCTTCATCATCATTATCAACATCATTCTCTCTCTCTCTCTCTCTCTCTCTCTCTCTCTCTCTCTCTCTCTCTCTCTCTCTCTCTCTCTCTCTCCTCTCTCTCTCTCTCTCTCTCTCTCCTCTCCTCTCCCTCTCTCTCTCCCTCTCCCTCTCCTCTCTCTCTCTCCTCTCTCTCCTCCCTCTCCCTCTCTCTCCCTCCTCCCTCTTACTCAATTCCTCTTTCTCTCTCTCTTTCCAAAGTTGCAAGGTTCCCAACCTCTTTCACTCTTGTCAACACTGAAGTACATACTCTTAAAATAGTTTGTTAATCTTAGTAAGTGAAACTACACACAGCTGATAATAAAGTGTTTCTTGTGACCTGTTTTTTTTTTTCTAGAAATTTCTGTGTATTATCATGTTCGAGTGTTCAATATTGTTAGTTTTCTCTCCTGCTTCTTCTTTGTCATTTCTTTATTACTTTTATCATTTTCCGTTTCCTTCTCTTTTTTAATCTTCCTCTTAACTTGTTTCTCATCGCCCTTTCTTCTTTCCATCAGATTTAACTTTAGCTTCTCTTGCTATTCTTTCTTTTTCTCTTTCTCTTCTCTCCTTCTTCTCATCATTATCTATTTCCTACTCCTTCCCCTCTCCACCTCTCCTTCCCTTTTCCTTCCTCCTCCACATCCCACCACACCTCCTCCTCCCTCCTCCTTCCCCTCCCCTCTCCCTCCTCCTCTCCTCCTCCTCCTCCTCTCCTCCTCCTCCTTCCTCTCCTCCTCTCCTCCTCCTCCTCCTCCTCCTCTCCTCCCCTCCTCCTCCTCCTCCTCCTCTCTCCTCCTCCTCCTCCTCCTCCTCCTCCTGCTCCTCTTCCCTCCTACTCATTCTCTCTCCTCTTCCCCCCTCCTTCTCCTCCTCCTTCTCTCCTCTCTCCTCCTCCTCATCTCATCCTCCTCCTCACTCCCCCTCCCCCCTCCTCCCCACCTCCCCCACCTCCCCCTCTCCCCACCTCCCCCTCCCCTGAAATCTCCAAAACAAAGCCAAGCAAACAATGATACATTTATTTCCCCCAAAATGAATCACCATCAAGCAACGGATACAGCACGCGACACAAGAACGACATCGGAGAGGTTTTCCGGCTGATCACGTGACTGTGAGTCATAGCGGAGTTTACTACGAAAGAAAGATGATGCAAGACGACTGTAAAAAGGGAGACGGTGATAAAGGAAAGAGATAGAAGACGGGGGGAAGGGAATGGGAGAATAAATGATGTGTGTGTGTGTGGGGGGGGGGGAATGTGGTGTGGGTGTGATGACGTGTGTTTGTGGTGTAGAGTTTGTTTTGTTTTGGTTTGATTATCTGTCTTTCTTTCTCTCTCCCTCCTCTTCTCTCTTTTGTTTTTTCTTTTATTTAATTTCCTCTCCTTTTCTTTTTCTTTTCATTTTCTTCTCCTTCTTCTTCTCTTCTTTCTCCTCTCATATATTCTCCTCTCTCTCTCTCTCTCTCTCTTCTCTCTCTCTTTAGCTTCTCTCTCTCGTCTCTCTCTCTCTCTCTTCTCTCTCTCTCTCTCTCTCTCTCTCTCTCTCTCATCTCTTCTCTTCTCTCTCTCGCTGCTCCGCTTCCTCGCTCTCGCTCTCTCCTTCCTCCCTTACTCCCCCCTTCCCTCCTCCTTCCTTCTCCTCCTCCTTCCTCCCTTCTTCTGCCTTCCTCCTTTCCCTTCTCCTTCCTCATTCCTCATTCTCTTCCATCCTCTTCCCTTCCATCTTTCCCTTCCCTTCCTTCCCTCCTTCATGCCAAATCTTCCATCTGATCCACTCCCTTTAGTCAATCCTCCCTTCTCCTTTCTTCCTCTCTCCCCTCACCCTCTCCCTCATTTCCTCCCATCCCTTCTCCATCTCTATCGACTCCGCCTCCCTTCCCCCGCCCCCCCCCCCTTCGTACGCTTCTCCTCTC